CCAAAGGTTGTGGGGTTTGTCATGCTCACTCACCAGAAAGAATCAGATGGACTCAAGATCCACACTCACCTCCCTAGCCTCGACCCCAGTTGAACAGGCTCTCAAAGGGCCACACCTTGAGGAACAAACTGGTGATGCTGAGAGCATGGGGGAGGGGGAGGCATTTTCACAGGCCTGGCACCCCGGACACGTGGCGGGGGCAGCAGGGTAGGGTCAGGGTAGGGAGGGCTAGAAGTGTATCTGCTTCCTGGAGCTGCTGTAGCAAAAGCTTCGAGTGGGTGGATAAAGCAGCAAGCATTGGTTGTCTCGAAATCCTAACTGGTTGTTTCAGAAGTCCGAAACAAAAGTGTTGACATGGCCGGAATCCTGAAGACTCTGGCGAAGGACTTTCCCTGCTTCTGGCTTCTCCCGGTGGCGCATCATCCTCGGTGCTCTTGGCTTGTGCCTGCGCCCTGCAGACACCACACCCAGCCTCACAGGCCTCTGCATCTCCATGTCCACATCCAGATTCCCTTCTGAAAAGCACACGAGTCACTAGGCTGAGGCTCAGCCTGCCCAGTGTGAATGCATCTAATCTTGATCAAATCTGCCAAGGTCCTATTTCCACATAAGCTTACATTCACAGGTACCCAGGGTTAGAACTCCCACGAATCTTTTTGGGGTGCACAATTCTACCCAGTACAGTGGGTGGAGGGGACTACAGAGATGACATCAAGAAACAACAGCCCTAGCACCGGGCTCCCCGGTGCCTCAAGCTCCCCCCACAACGCCAAGCACATGTCCACGTGCTGTGCCCTTGATGCCAGCAGCACTGCCTGGCGGCTATAGATGGTGGCATATGTCCTGTGTGGACCCCTGTTAAGCCCTCATGACTTGACTTAAGTACCACCCCCGGGCAAAGTCTTCTCAACCCTCAACCCTCCCGAGGCAGCTGGAGGGCCTCCGGCCTTCCTCTGGGCTGCAGGAGTTGGCAGCAGAGCTTCTGCTTGGCACACAGCATGCATCTGCATCATCATCTCTACTTTCCTGGGCTCTGAGGGTTGGGTCTGCCATGCTGGTGCTCTGCATGTGATACGCCTGGCACATCAGACCTCAGCATGGGCTGGGGGAGGAAGAACCATGGATGGATGGGGGTGGGAGAGTGGTGGGTGGGCGAATGGCTGAGAGGGTGAGTGGATAAGTGGGTGGGGAACAGGTGGGTGGAGGGAGGGAGGGAGGAGAGTCAAGTAACAGAAGTCCATGACCACACTACCCCACCCCTGCTGCTCTGTCCATCTGCCTTGCCTTGTTCTACACTGTAGCATTTCACATCATTTGTCGTATTATCTGCCGGTTGTTCTCCTGTCACAGGAACGTGTGGTCTATGGGAACATTTGCCTATTTCTTTTTCACGACTTTATCTCCCATGCCTAGAGCAATATTTATAGGGTGGGTGGGTGGATGCATGGAAGGGTGGGTTGCAGGGAGCCTGTGGCCCCGTGGGAGTTTGCTAGCCTATCTTACTATTTGCATAAGACATTTTCTATATTGCACCAAAATTGTCACTGTTGACAGTCACTTAGTATGTCTCCTGTTTCTTTGTTTGCTTTAGTTATTCCAAAAGATACTACGATGAATATCTCTGCATATGTGTTTGCACGTATGTCTAGCTAGCTCTAAAAGAAAACTCTTAAGAGTAAAATTCTTGCAAGAAGAGGAGTGTTTAAAACTTGGATAGATTCTGCCACGCAGGTCCACGCGTCCATTTAGTGCCCATCCTGACACTCGTGGCCACCCTCTGTCCCTGCCTCAGTGAGATATTGGCCTGGCGGTGCCATCAGAGAGCTGGGAAGCCGTGTCCTGTTTCTGCGTTAACAGGTGTTCCTTTCACTGGGGCGGGTGGCAAGTGCCTCGCTCTTATGCCGGGTCGGCTGGAGCCAGCTGGCCCGAGCTGGCCCTGCGCAGTGGGCTCGTTTCGCCCCCCTGCCCCGCACCCTCGCTCCCCAGGCTCAGGATTTGCTGCTGTTCAGTCATCTGAGAGCAGGGCTGGTGCCTTCCCAGCCAGGGCCCTCTGCCCTGTGGGCTGCCTTCAGCCGTACAGAAATCCCCACGAGCCCAAGTTGTGAGGGGTCAGCCTCGGCCTGCCTGGAAGGGGTAGATTTAACATCATGAGCTTCTGCAGTCAGAACAACGATTCCTGCCCTACCAGCTCATCTCACAGCAGCTGACCTCCCCGCAAGCCAGACGCACATGCACAAGTGTGTGTGTGTGTCTGTGTGTGCGTGTGTGTGTTTCTTGTGCATTCTGCCAGCCCTGCACGCAGAAAGAGTATTATCTTCCCTCCCTCCCTGGAGAGCCATGGTGTATACAATCTACTTGTCTCTGAGGACCATTTACTTAGCAATCGTGGTCAGAGGTCAGAAAGGGGCTGCTGCAGCCAGGTCTCGGAGCTCGAGGAGAAGGTGGTTACTGACCGCTGGCCCAGGCATGCAAGGCCAAAGTCTGGAGCGCTCAGATACGGGGCAGGGGCTCACCTGGGCTGACATCACAGCCTGCTAGCCTCAGGGCACAGGCTGCCCTTCTCCCAGGCCACAAGGCCCCATGCCCTCTGCCACTTCCCAAACCCTCCCGCCAAGCCACCTCTGCCAGACTCTGTCTGCCATGTCAGGGCCTCCATGGGCCATGGGACAGGGGTCAAGGAACAGAGCAGCCTTGCTGTGTTGGCACATACAACCCACAGCATCTAAGGATCAAGGTAGTGAAGACAAAGTTGTGCTGAAGGTGAACACTAGAGATACTTACTGAGCTTTACTATTTACCATACCTTACTCTCCCCTCTCTACACGCTTATCAACTCATTTCACCTCCACAACGACCCTAGGATATAGATGCTGTTCTTATCTCAACTTTACAAAGGTAGAAACTGAAGCACAGAGAGGTCAGTCATCAACTCAAAAGTCACACAGCCACGAAGAGGCAGAGCCAGGAGCTAAACGTTCAGTCTCACTCCAGAGCTCATACTTTTAACTACTGTAACCCTTGATATATGTTCATACTTAAGTTTTAATTTGGAAGATTGAGGGGTGGACGCAGAGGTCAGAGTGGCTTCATTAGAGGCTCTGAGCGGGCCAGCGTGCCCACTGGCCCACATACTGCAGCTCCCTACTGCTGTGGCCTAAGACCGGGAGAGGGGAGCGGGTGCTGAGTCCTGACATGGGGGCTGACACCTCCCGGGCACATGAGGACCAAGTGTCATGGGCAACTCCCTCTACCCTGCTCTGGCCTCGAGAACCCAGATCCCCTTCCAGCCGCCAACTTGAGAGTGAGAGGGAGCTCGGCTTCCTTCCATTGTTTACGGGGGGCACACCCAGCGTGTTCCTGCAGTGACCCGAGGCCTGGGGGGAGGTAGGAGGGAGAGAAGGAGCCAGCCTGAGTGGGGTCGGGTGGGAGAAGGGAAATGAGAGGGGAAGACTTGGTGTTTTTCCTTGTTTGTGTTTTGTATTAAGGAAAACAAATAATATCCTTTGAGAAAACCACTAAACAAAGCACATCCCAAGGCCACAGAGGCCCATTGTGGCTGCCCGGAGCCCGGAATTCATTCATGCCTTTTTGGATTGTTGGAGGCAGAGACGGGGTGGGAAGGAGGGATTACCATTTAAATACACTCTGAAGTGTGTCACTCCTTCCCTGGACCCAGTTGGAGTCTAGACGGAGTGTCCCTATGTCCTTGAGCCTGTCCTCTCCCAGTGACCTCCCAGGAAGTTCCTCTGGACAGACATCCTAGCACAGACAGGGAGGCCCCTTGACGGGGGAGGGCGGGGGGTGCTGATCCCCGAAAAGGCAGCCCTCTGCTGTAGAGTCCCAATCTGGTCCACCGGCCCTACAGAACGGCCTAGCTCACTCCCTATACAAGTTCCCTGGGCCTCGGGCTGGCTGTGTGTGATGGACAAGGACTAGGTCAAATGGCATCTCACTGACCATTCTCTAGCACACTGGGCCCTGTCACTGCACCCTCATGCTTTGCATTCCCAGGACCCTGTGGGCATTGCTGCATGGGGGCCACGCTCTGGGACTGTGCCAGGGCCTGTTTCCAGGCGTCGCAGGCCCAAGCCAGATCACTCCTCCTCGCAGACCCCAAGACCTAGGCAGCCCCACTCCAGATGCCTGTGATGAAACATCAGTG